TATATTTGTAGGTTTCACATGTAGACCTTTCCAAATTCTTTAATGCCTGAATGCAGACAATAGCCCTTAAAAAAAAAAAACCCTCTCCATCTTGATTCCCACAAAATGGACACAGATATTGACATATGGTATCACTTTTATACACTTGCCACAAGATACTTTCAGAGACACACCCGGTAATTATGCTTTCTATATTATAATTGGATCCGGTATTTAATTTGTACAGCATTACATGGCATCAGTTCTCTATTCCCATTTACGAGAAAATGGAAATGAAGGTGACTCAACTTACAAAGTCAGGATTGTAGGAAATCATCCCCAAGGCCATACGGAAATCCATCACCTGATTCTCCAGCATGTCCACTCTGATAAGTTCTTCCTCAGTTTCACCACCTGCAGATAGTATAGGCAGGGGTGTCAAAGTCAAGGCCCTGGGGCCCGAATCCGGCCCGTGGGGTGCTTAGATCGGGGCTGTCCTGGAAATAGTAAAGGACCAGCCCATGGTGCCTCTGCCAACGAAAATGGAGCTTGGGAAGGCTACGCATGGCCCTCCCAAGCTGTTTTCTCTTGACAGAGGTTTGCAGGAGGCCATCCCAGCTGAAAACGATGCTGGTGAGGGCCGTGTGTGCCCCCTCCCCCCAAGCCCCATTTTTGCTGGCAGATGTTTGCAGGAGGCCATTGCAGCCGAAAACAGAGTTTGGGAGCCAGTTTTCACTGACAGAGTGCTTGGGCCACCATAGGCACCTCCAACACAAGTGATGTCGTGCTGGCCACGCCCCCCAGCCACATACACACACACACCCAGGTCAGATACAACTCTGATGCAGCCCTCCATGAAATCGAGTTTGACACCCCTGGAATAGAGAGATGAGAAATGCTGGGCAGCAGAAACAGGTCTTAATCAGCCAGTTCAGCTTCCAAGAGAGCTCAGGTATACGTACACAGATGGTGCTTGCGTGCGATGTACCTGAGAATAGCATTACTCTGTGTCAATTTGGTCTTGCCATCAATTAAGTATGGAAGCTGGAAAATAAACAGAATGAACTACTTAAGAACAAACCTTTGCAATATTAGGCTTTCACATGATTGATCCCCATCAGCTATCCTCTTTATTCAAGTCCTCATATATGAATACCATAGAAAACAGCAGATTAAGATATTCTTCCAACTATTGTAAATATAGTTACTTACATTAGGGAAGTCCAGCCCCAATTTTTCTTTTTCACTGATCCATTTACTTTTATCATAATCAGGAGCTGGTAAGAAATGGGAGGTAGAAAGTTCAGACAACCAGAAATTTCAAATCAGATGCAAACAGTTTACCTTTCACTAGAAAAAGCAATCAATTTTAGAAAATGCAAAAACTGCATGCTTTTCCTGACCCAGTTATAGCAAGTACTATACCACTTGCTGACAAGTTTAGGCAAACTTTTTGAATCCCCACTCCTCCATTACCTCAGCCATTCAATGATTGGTTGCATGATAAGCACAGCTTGGTTACTAATTAATCCAATTTTCGGAATATGTCCATTGCACTGAACCATAAGGTAATTAAATGGACTAGGTTTATATAACACATCAAATCACAAAACAAAAATTAACAGAGGGAAGCAATCCAAGCTTAGCATGCTATTAACAGACATTAAGTCTTCAGCTGGCCCAGTTAAATATATTGTGAGACTTCTGTGGGTCATCTTAATTCTCGGTTTCATACCAAGAATATTCCCCAGAACATCATGTAACATTCTACAAGTTGTTTCAAGGAAACAATTTGGCAAGATCAAGCCACATGAAGAAATCATTCTGCCCAGCTGCACAAATGGAAAACCCCATAAATATTTGGCACAATAAATAATTAGTTGTCTTATTTCTCAGATTTAGATGTCCTATTTGAAAAAGAGAATTTGGTGCTGATGTAATACAGGGTGGCTACCAATAGGAACAGCCTGTTCAGAATTGCTGCTGTGATCCTATGATTCCCATCGACCGCCGCTTCTCCCTATAAACATCCCAGGCTTCCCTATTGACTTGTGGGAAGATGTCAGAGAACAGTGTAAACAAGGATCACATGACCACAACAGCAGCACAATGGTATCAAATGGCAAGAACTTTCCAAAATTTTATTCCCACAGGAATAATGGGTCCCAGCATCTGTAAGTTAGCTCGTTTGAGGTACCTTGATTGAAAAGGTTTTGCCCTATGGTACACCATTTCGGCCAGTTAAAAGTTGCAGACATGAAAGTTTTAGTAGTGTACAGATGGGATATACATGTGTATATGCTACCATGTTTCCCTGAAAATAAGCCCTAGCATGATTTATCAGGATGCTCGTAATGTAAGCCCTACCCCCAAAATAAACCCCAGTTAAGATTGTCAGCCAGATGGCCGCATTTAGTACCATGTTTCCCTGAAAATAAGACCTAACCAGAATATAAGCCCCAATGCATCTTTTGGAGCAAAAATTAATTGGTCTTATTTTGGGGGAAACACAGGTAATATGTAATTCAATGCAAATGTTAGCTAAATGATGACCAACCATGACCACTGCCTAAGAAATCATCTGGGGAGCCAATCAAAAGCTAATTCTAGACATACATTTCATTAAATGGAGATCCAGAAGCTATAATCCAATACTGCAATGAGGGACCGAAGTTGGAGAACACCAAAGCTACAAAGTAACTCCAAGTGCCAATCCTTTGTATTGTTTTCCTATACATTAAAAACTAACCTTTCTCGGATGTGTAAGCCCAACATCATATATAAAAGGTGGAAGGGAGGAAGCACCTCAAGCTATCGCAGAATATCCTATAACACCAAAATCTCTCCCACATCTTTTAATACCTATCATACTAAGGTTGACCTGAAAGTAACTTGCAAGTAAAACAAAGAAATCTTCCAGAGCAGGGCATGGGCATAAGTGCAAAAGAGCATGGTTAGAGAGAGAAGGAATGGGAAACAGGTAAGGCCCTCCAAGTAGAGAGAGAGAGAGAGAGACCAAGAATAAGCAGAGATAAATGGAGATATTCTCCTGGATTAGAAGCCTGCAATTGTAACAATAAAGATTATGCAACATCCTTGACTTGCAACTTTCATTAGAAGATCACTATTATACTCAATAGGACTCACCTAAAGCCAACTCAAGAGCATGACATGTGCACAATGCTGAACAAAATTATTATTTCTGCATGCTCCCCCAGTTATACAATTTTTGGCAGCAAATAGCTAAAGGGATAGGTATATTAGAATCATTTACAGATAAGGCACCCAAACATTATTATGAGCCAGAGGTCTCCCTAATGAGATGACAATCTGGATGAACCCAGTTCTAACAGCAACATATTCCAAAAGAAGCTGCCTGAGATGATGAACAGATATAAGGAGACTGTTGTGATATAAAGGAAAATTTTCTTAAGTTAATGGCTTTGGAAAGAGGCCCATAACATTGCACTAGAGGTATTATCTGGAAAAGTTCCAATACAACAGTTGTATAACAGCCCAGCCTTCAATGAACAGCTCCATCTAATTATTGTGCGTACCACCCTATCTTAGGTAACTTAAGGAATGTTGAAATAATTTACTCCGCTTTTCTTCTACTCTAACCTTTTATATATTTGTGTTGAACAAGAATAAGTTTCTCACATTCTTGGGAATACTCAGAAGCTAGAAATGAATGCAATTTCTTTTGAATGAAGAGCTGAGCTAATATTTACATTCAATAAGTTATATTCACAGAAGGAAACAGGATGGAGTACAAATGAAATTCAGCAAGGCACACAAACCTTCTCCACAGCTGTAGAACTTATCTTCATAAGATGTTCCCGTGTATTCAAGTAGCAATCGAATGCTATGGGCAAGCTGTACAGAAAACAAGCAAACCAGCTCTCAGATGGGTGGGGTAAAATTAACATTCTCAAGTATTTTTCACAAGATGTAAAGAGATGAGAGCCCGTTGAGGTAAACAGGGCCAAAAAATTGACAGTCGAGATTTCAGGAATGCTCTTTATTCTTACTGGGTAGAATAACAGGCACTTTGAAAGCCTCCTATCAAGATTTTCTCACTAATCCATCTCGTACCAAGCAAATCAAGGCAGGGTTATTTCAAGTTTCTTCTCAACTTTTCTTCCTTCTTAGGACTGAACTCTTCCCACAATGATTTGCACATTCCTTCCTCTTTGCCAAGACCAGTTTTCACACTTGTTAACTAGCCAAACATCCCCTTGGGCCTAGAGGAAGAAGCAGTTCAAAACTATGAAGGCGTACTTACGTTTGATAAAGCAAAAACATATATTCAGTGTTCCAACCAGGTGCTTGTCGTGGGTTCTTTTTAAACTGTACCAATTAGACCAGTGATGATGAACCTTTTTGTTGTGGTGTGCTGAAAGTGTGTGCACGCCGGCACCCACAATGCAATGCGCCACCCTCTCGTGCATGCACATGCAACCCACTGCCCCACCCTCTTACCTGCACTGTGCATGCGTGCGCCTCCTAGCTGATTTTTGGTCAGTTTGAGGCTGTTTTCGCCCTCCCGGAGGCTCGAGGGAAGCCTCTGCAGCCTTGGGAGGCTGAAAATGGGCCCGTTTCGGCACTTCCGGTATTTCCAGAAGGCCCATTTTTTTGGCCTCCCGAGGCTGCAGAGGCTTCCCTCAAGCCTCTGGGAGGGCGAAAACGGCCTCAAACGGACTGAAAATCAGCTGGCAGGCGTGCACATGTGCACTGCAGATAAGTTTGGCTGGGGCTCACGTGCTCGCACAAATGGCTCTGCATGCCACCTGTGGAATGCGTGCCATAGGTTCGCCATCACAGAATTAGACTGATCCAGACATAAGACACAACACCACTGACCCTGGGCAGATGATTTCTTTGTACCTCTCCAGAAGGGTTGGAGAGATGTTTTATTTTTTTAAATGTACATATAAAAGCTATAATTACTATATGATTACTATTCCATATACTATAATTTATATAATGCTATTCAATATATTTTATACTATTACCATTCAATTAGAATGACCGATTGCTCTATTATTATCTATATACTATGCTCTATATTATTACTATCATACATCTTTTTTATGCTTATGTTAGAACAATTAATCAGTGGAACAACATGCCCCCAGAAGTTGTGAATGCTCCAACACTGGAAATTTCGTTTCTATATTGTGCTGTCCAGACAGTATATAGGTAATGGGAATTGAGTTAGTTAAGTTAGAATTGGGAGCTGTCCCCTTAAGGGAATGCCTCATGGTAAATGTAGTTAATGCATCCTGGGAAATGTAGTTCATGTCATGTGGTCACATCTGTAATCCTGATTGGTCATTGAACTGACCCTTGGTTGGGTTGGGGGAGGTTCCTTCACTCTTGCCTGGACCCCAGAAGTGTGCTGGTACTTTCATCCCATAACAAAGGAGCAAGGGGTACCCTTACTCCTTTGTTATGGGATGAAAGATCTCTATTCTTTTACACTATGAAGTCAGCTATGCAAAAAATTGGACATTAGATGGATCTCGACATAACTGTGAGTTATATTTGAGGATGCCTGGTGAACCAATAAAGAAACTTTGTATGGAAGCCATTGTAGAGTTGTCTGTCTGTCTTTATATTACATATATACTTCTTTTCCTCTCTTTTGGCCCATCCACTCCTTCTAAAGGAAAAAATGCCTTTTGTTGTCCATTATATACTCCATTTGCTGCCAGTGGAAGAGCTCCAAAACACGCCTCCTCCATTCTCCTCCCACACCTATGATAAGGTTACACAGCTTTATTGGCAACTCCCGCCAAGTACACTCTGGGGAAAAGGTTCAAATGGAAGGGAAAGAAGGCAGCACCAGTTCCTGAAATTTGCTAAGCAGCCTGCTCCTCCACATTGATCTTCAGTTAAGATTACATTAAAACAATTCCTGTTCTCTGTAGCCAGCGTAGCCACGCAGAATGACAGAAACTGTAGTCCAACTTATTTGGACGATTTCCATTTAGGCTGGATAATATTAGAGCCACCTGAGCAGGAAACTCTGCTACTGAAATCCTGTTAATGGTTATTTGAGCTCCTTCAATATTTTCCAATGCTTCCAACAAAACTTATTTTTCTTTATCAATATAATTATAGGGGGAACCAAGGGGAGCAATGGTTCAGACAGATGGTTTATATTTTCTCCAACCACATCAGTAAAAACAAGTGAAATTTCTGTTCCACGCACAGTTTAAACACATAGTAGTCCCCATTTATACAATTCCACTGTATTCACACATAGCCAGGGCAGGCAAATCCTTGGGACCAGGAGTCACGCTAAATGTCCTCCTTGGGTGGCGGATTTTCTGTTGTGAATAAATAACAAAGAAAAGGATTTCCTACTGACTTTAAGCTGCGATATTTGGAAGGCAGGAGGTAATTTAGAGTCTGGAAGTTTGATTGTTTATTCAAATTGCTTGCACTTCCTTTCTCACCCTTTATCTACGGGGCGGGAAAAAGAATAGATAGATAGATATTCCTCCAGGAATGATTTCATTGTGAAGACCCAAGTAGCAGGAGAAATGTAAAAAGTCACCTTGAAAACGTTAAATGTGCTTTAACCGTGAACATTATCCTACCCCTCCCTCCTTCCCCTCTGCACCGCAATTCCGGCAACGTTTATTTAGACCCAAACTGCCAATTTTACTCAACACGTCGGGCACACCGCTCTCTTCTCCCGAGACAAAGGAAGTGGGGCGCGGGAAGAACAAAACCAGTTTCTGTCGGGCAGCGAGCGAGCTCGGTCTGCAGGCGCAGGAGACTCAATTAGGCCTCTTCCCCCTCCCCCTCCCCCTCCCCACAGAAACAAATGCCCGCGTGAAAGAAAAACCCAGCGGGTCTTGCAAGCAGCCAGGCTGGCAATGGCCTCGCCGGAAACTGGAGGAAGGCCAGAAGCCCGACGGGATCTGCCACCTCTCCTTCCGTTCGCCAGCAGGCAAAGAAAGGCCTTACTGGGGCGCGGGGGGGAAGCCGGGGGGGGATCTCCCCGTGTTTTCAAACGGAGCGTCTTGCAGGAGAGGCGGCCAGTTTCTTGCACGCCTCGGCTCCAACCTGGAACCCCCGTCGGTGGGAGCAGCGAGAGAAGAGAGCAGCAGGTCTTTGCCCGGCAAGCGGGGAAAGCAAAGCCAACGCCGTTTTCTTGCCCGAGCAACTCACCCCTCTAATGTCCCAGTAGCCCAGAATCATCGGCATGGCGCGCTCTTGCAGCTCTTCGGCTCTGTAGCTAACACCGCGGACCGTGGGCTGTGCAGGCTAAAGAGGTAGGCTCCGTCTGAGAGAGGCTTAATAAACTGCTAACGCGCCGCCTCGGTTGCCAAAAGAGGCGGTGGAGGTGGAGGTTCGCCAAAGTGGGTGGGATGGGCCGGCAGCAGGGTGGGCCCATAAGGTGCTTATGGGGTGGGCCCATAAGCAGAAGCGTCCATTGCGCGACTAGCAAGTGGTCTTTCGGGCGCCGCCGGCCCCTTCGAAAGAGCGACTTTTTGCTGAGTTTGGGTTTTGAGTTTGGGTGGATTTTGAACGGCTCTTCTGAAATTTGCCCTCTTTTAAGTCCACTTAGATCCGGCCTCGGTAGTGGGCTAGTAGTACTTTGCAGGTCTGGTTGCACTGTGGAGATGAATGAGAAAGAGCTCTAACGGCTTCTAACATTCTCGAAACTGTTAAAGCTTGCTTAACGCGAGGTCCAAAGTGCGTGGACCGAGAAGAACTTTGCGCGCGCGCGCGCGTGTGTGTGTGAGAGAGAGAGAGAGAGAGAATTCAGTACGAAATCCAGAGCAAGCAATTGGTGCTTAGCAGCAAACTTTACCGAGTCAAAGGTGAGACCGGAATCCGCAGAAGTGGCCGTCCAATCTTCTTTTTCCCTTGGTTTATGTCATTTTTAACCGTGATTTCTGGCTGCAAATAACAAAGGGTGGAAGCAGAAAAGCCTGCTCCGAAGACTGACTGAATCACAGGTTTGGAAATTTGTCTGCGAACTGTGGTCACAAAAACCAAGATGGTGACCACGATGGTGTGAACTTATACAAAGGAGAATATCTGTAGCTCAGGATTGACATGAGGGGTGCTCTCTCAGCTTGCTTGTTTTCTTGCGGGCGTTTCATTAACCACACTAGGTAACATCATTATTAGTACTAACACTGATGATGTTATTAGTTTGGGTAATAAAATGTCTGTAAGAAAACAAGCAAGCTCAGAAACCACCAAGGACCCCTAGCAGTGTGGTCTAAATGCCACCCATGTTTATGTATATTTGGAGGTGTGGTGATCTAGTGGTGAAGAGGCTCACTTCCCACTTGGGAGTTCAATCCTAGGTAACAACAGATGCTTCTCTACTTGGGTGCTAAGAAAAAACTACCTGCTGTGAAGGCCACATAGGATCAGGAAGGGCATCCAGACAGTAAATGCTCACCTCCGTCCAGTCGCCCTGACTCTACCCCAAATTTAATAGACTAAAGAGTTATAAAAAGGGAATATATATATTTAATGCACATTAAAAAAAGAAGCAGAACTTAAGTTGCACCATTGCAGCCATTATCTTTTCATAGCCTGCAGACATGCACTAACCAGGCTTGACTGCTTAGCATTTTCTAAATCAGAGTTGCTTGGTGTTGTCATTTAATGTGACACTTTAAATAAAGGATATTTTCAAAATTGTTTTTACGGTATCTCATTTTCCCCACATCCGCACGATTCTACTTGAATAACAACAGCTGAAATGGAATCATCGATCCTTTGTTCTATCTTTTCATTTTTAATCCAAATGTCTATACAGTAGAAGTCTGGACTGCACACTTCTAAGACTTCACACGATCTAGATTCTATCCCTCTGTTAATGCAGCCTAGTGTGCTGGTGTTTTTGACAGCTACACACACTGCTGACTCATATTTGAACATCCTCTAGGACTCCCAAGATTCCTCTCGCAGTTACTACTGTTAGAATAGAATAGAATAGAATAGAATAGAATAGAATAGAATAGAATACTTTATTGGCCAAGTGTGATTGGACACACAAGGAATTTGTCTTGGTGCAAGGTACATTCATTAAGAATCAAGAATCATAATGTACAATACTTAATGATAGTCATAGGGTACAATCAACAATCAAATCATACTTGGAAACAGTCAAGTGGGAGGGGATGGGTGATAAGGAGTGGTGAGAAGATTAACAGTAATAGTAGTGTACACTTTGTAAATAGTTGAACAGTGTTGAGGGAATTATTTGCTTAGCAGAGTGATGGCTTTCAGGAAAAAACTGTTCTTGTGTCTAGTTGTTCTGATGTGCAGTGCTCTATAGTTTCATTTTGAGGGAAGGAGTTGAAACAGTTTATGTCCGGGATGTGAGGGGTCTGTAAATATTTTCACAGCCCTCTTTTTGACTCATGCAGTATACAGGTCCTCAATTGAAGGCAGGTTGGTAGTAATTGTTTAGGCAGACCTAAACAGTCCTAAATTAGGCAGTCCTAATTATCTTCTGAAGTCTGTGTCGTTCCTGTTGGGTTACAGAACCAAATCAGACAGTTATAGAAGTGCAGATGATAGACTCAATAATTCCTCTGTAGAACTGTATCAGCAGCTCCTTGGGCAGTTTGAACTTTCTGAGTTGGCGCAGAAAGAACATTCTTTGTTGTGCTTTTTTGATGTTAGGTGTCCATTTTAGGTCATGTGATATAGTAGAACCTAGAAATTTGAAGGTCTCTACTGTTGATACTGTGTTGTCTAGTATTGTAAGAGGTGGTAGTATAAGAGGGTTTCTTCTAAAGTCTACCACCATTTCTACGGTTTTGAGTGTGTTCAGTTCCAGATTGTTCCACAAGGCAAGTTGTATAACCTCCTGTCTGTATGCAGATTCATCATTGTCTCGAATGAGACCAATCACTGTTGTGTCATCAGCAAACTTCAGTATTTTAACAGATGGATCGTTTGAGATGCAGTCATTGGTATATAGGGAGAAGTGGAGAAAGCACACAGCCTTGGGGGGAGGGCTGTGCTGATTGTACAGGTATCGGATCTGATTCTGCCTAACATCACCTGCTGCTTCCTGTCTTTTAGGAAGCTAATGATCCACTTACAAGTGTGTTCTGGTACCGCTAGTTGGTTTAATTTACTTAGAAGAGTGTCTGGAATGATGGTATTGAATGCTGAACTGAAGTCTATAAAGAGGTACCACCTATTCTATACCCGTGCATTTGGTTTTTCTTGCCTAAACGTAGAATCTTAACTTTTCTCACCACTGAAGTTCATTTCGTTAGATAGTGTTCAAGTCTGTCAAGATCCTTCTGCATCTTGAGCCTGTCTTCTGGAGTCTTGGCTATTCCTGCCAGCTTGGTGTCATCTGCAAGTTTGATGAGCACCAAATCTCTCCTCTCCTCTAAATTGTTTATGAAGCTATTGAAAGAGTACTGGGCTAAGACAGAGAGTTTTTTGAACTGGTGCGGTTTTTAGTTCTTCTGTATCAACCTTCCCCTGTTCACTGGCACAGTCTGCCAGCAGTGTTGGTGAACAGTATAAAGTGCTGTTCAGCACTTTATACAACGTTTCACATGATTACAGTGAGGTTCATTATTTCACCATGTTTTGGCACAGAGCCAAAGATATGACATGGACTAAAGAGAACAAGCAAAAGGCAAACAACAAAAGGCAAGGCAAGGAAAGTGTGAGGGAAAGAGAGAGAGAGAGGGAGGGAGGAAGGAAGGAAGGAAGGAAGGAAGGAAGGAAGAAGGAAGGAAGAAAAGGAAAGAAAGAAAAATGATTTTTACTGTATATGTTACAAATTCATTATGGAAAAATTCAATTAGAATTGAATCTTCAATTAGAAGAAATAATTGTTTGGGGTTGGGAGGAGGGGAAGATACTTTCTACTGTATTAAATCTTAAAGGGCTGGTAAACTCTATAAGTCATATTCAACTATGCATCTAATTTACCATGGTAGATATGTCCCAGCATCAGAAGTAGATGCTGTGTCCCAAACAGCTTTATGACATGCACTCCCTCAAAAGTGTGTGTGTGTGTGTGTGTGTGTGTGTGTGTGCACATTTATGGTCTTTGGGAGAGATTTCAGATTTCTCAATCCCTGTGAAAAAATTGTATATTACCTCCTCAGTTTTCCCATTATAGAATCCAAGGCCTGTCTACCCACTGCTGTCATGAAATTAGCCATCCTATTGTGAACCTCAGTTTTCCAGGGTTGCAGGCTGTTCTGGATCAGAAGAGATGGAGGGTGTGAGTGGGCCAACAGGTGAGCTTTCTCCCCTGGCTCTGCTGCCATCACTTTCTTGTAGTTCATCAGCCAACAAGGTAAAACATCCCCTCCTCCCACTAGAGAACTACAGCAGGAATGGGAAGTGTCTGGTTACAGATCTTTCCTTGACCCATCTAGACTGGTTGGTTTGCCTCTTCTTCCCCACCCACTTGGGCACCTCCAGCTTAAAATAATGAGAGATAAAAGAAGCAAGGTGTGCTGGAGCGGACCTGATTCCTTGCCTTCAAAAGGCCAGCAGACTTCGTAATCACTGCATGCAACATCATTGGCTCAGCCCTGAGGAACCCTCGGGGCGCATGCCAAACTGGGCTAAGTTCAGGGTGAATATGCACGTCATCACAGCTGCTATTTGCTCAGCTCTGCCTCAGGCTAGGCAGTCTTCAGCAGGGGAAGCTCCCATTAGCGCCACCTGCTGTAGCTGCCCACATTCAGAGGCCTTGGCCCACCTGCGCTAAAGGCGTTCCAGGGCCAATGGCTTCTTCCGTTGCTGCAGGAGAACCTGATAACGCCCAACTTTGAAGCTCTTTGGATAGCAGAGAAGAGGGCTGGCAAATGCCATCAAGAGGCAGCGGAGCCCCCCTCTTCCCTGTTCTTCTGAAGTTTCAACCGGTCTAGCAAACCCAGTTCTTTTCTTCTCTCTCAGAACAAAGGCAGGGTCAGATGCTTTGCCCGTTCTCTTGTCTGAGAGGCCTAGGGTTTTGTTTTTGTTTTTGCTTTCCTTTCTGCACAGAAAGAAGCCTTTTTCCTTTGTTGCAAGAACTAGGGCAGCTGGCGGGGTGGGTTGGGATGAGGAGTGAAGCTTACTCCTTTTCTCAGTGGTTCTGAGTTAATAAGTGAAGACAGATGGCTTTTATTAAACGGTAGAGGCTGGGAAATCAAAACTAGTAGTATGAAAGATTAATCTAGAGAAAAGAAGAACTATTTATTTATTTATTTATTTATTTATTTGATTTGCCAATTGTTTACAAGATAATAAGTATAAGTGTATACATAGTTGTGAATACATGAAATGGGTACATATAAGAAAAATAAAAGAATAAGAGAAACAATAGGACAGGGACGGTAGGCACGTTGGTGCGCTTATGCACGCCCCCTACAGACCTCTTAGGAAAGGGGTGAGGTCAATAGTAGACAGTCTAAGGTTAAAGTTTTTGGGGACTTCATAGCAGTATTCCAGTATTTGAGAGGCTGCCACAAAGAGGAGAGGGTCAATTTATTTTCCAAAGCACCAGAGGCCAGGACAAGAAACCATGGATGGAAACTAATCAAGGAAGAGAAGCAACCTGGAAATAAGATGATACTTCCTAGCAGCGAGAACTGCATGCCTTCAGAAGTTGTGAGTGCTCCAACACTGGAGGTTTTTAAGACTGGGCAGTCACTTGTCTGAAATGGAATGGGGTCTCCTACTTGACCCGGGGTCTGGACTGGATGACCTCCAAGGTTCCTTTCAACTCTATTCTGATTGAAAATGCTCCCCGTGAACTTAATCTACCTTTTCCCTATTGAAGGAAGCAGAGTCTCAAGAAAAAGACATGGAGTAACATAGTATGTTACCTAAGCACCATTTAGGCATTTTTCTATTCATGTTATAAAAAGTAACTTCCTTTGCTGCAACATTGGAGCCCAGATTTAAAGTGGAGCCCAGATTTAAAGACCAAGGAGGGATTAAGAAATAGACTTTTTTAAAAAATATTCTTTATTAGGTGAACAGATGCCTTAGAGTCATCATCAAGTTTGGAAATATGGAGAACTCATGAAGGTCCCTCATTCATACGGCAATTCCAGTTGTTATCCTCCTGAAACTTGTGGTCTCTTCTAGATTTTTTTGTTGCCCCACGTGGCACAACTCCAAAAGATGGGACTTCTGATGCAGCGACTTGATTTCAGGTAGGGAGCAATCATCTCCAAGGCCTACCAAGAAAGCCAAAAGAAGGATATTCGTCATTGCCTTGTCTTGTCATTACACAGTACAATAGCCTAAGCCAGAAGAAAACCACAAATATCTGTTTAGTGTTTGAAAAGTTATATTGCTCTTGCTTTCCGTTGGCCATGTGTTTGCAATATGGGAAATATAACTTTGGAACACACAAAGTTGATCAGGTCCTTTGCCACTATTTCATCTATTATGGTAGGTTGTCTCCAATCTTAGCAACTTTTGTGACTTGTGGACTTCAACTCCCAGAATTCCTCAGCCAGCCATGGTTGGGGACCTCCTGCATTATGGTATGTCAAATCTTTTTGAGAAGTGAAACATCTTCAAGGAAAAACTAGAAAGTCCCATTGCCTCTTGAAAAAGCACTTTTGGGACAACCTCTAAAAGTAAAAGTTGAATCAAGTTTGACTGTCACACAATCACGCCCTTTTCTTAGCAACAGCAAAAAAAAATGTTTTTCAATGCCTTCTTTGGAGTGTTTTCACTTCCCTGTTTAACCTACAGCCTTGAGATTCCATGAAGCTGGCTGGAGATCCCCCACCCAGAGTCCTACTTCAGCTTAGCTCCTGAGTCCAGGTGAGAGTGACCAGATGCCGTTACCTGCTGAGACCTTAAGAACCTCACTGAAGTTATGAACTCCTGTGAAGATCTTGGAAACTATTGGTTCTGTTACTGATTCTGCAGGAGCTGACCCTTTGCAGAAGAAATTAAAAGCTGGCAAAGTTTTCAATCCTTGTTAATGTAACTTACAAAAATGTCATCAGAACCGAACCAAAATGAAGCAGAAAAACAAGAGTTCTATTTACATGCACCTTTCAGTATAAAGAGAGGAAGCGTTCAGCACATTTATTCATTTGCCTCACACCTTCTGAATATTTTGCTAAATAATGAAATAGAAACGCCTTCCAATATTCTTGCCCCAGTTCTCCAACGCATTGTTGGAGAAGATGTTGAGACTCTAGAAAGAGTGCAGAGAAGGGCAACAAAGACGATTAGGGGATTGGAGGCTAAAACATATGAAGAACGGTTGCAGGAATTAGGAATGTCTAGTTTAATGAAAAGAAGGAGTAGGGGGTGACATGATAGCAGTCTTCCAATATCTCATAGGTTGGCACGAAGAAGCGGGGGGTCAACCTAATCTCCAAACCACTTGAAAGCAGGACAAGAAGCAATAGATGGAAACTAATCAAGGAGAGAACCAACCTAGAACCAAGGCAAATTTCCTGACAGGTAGAACAATTAATCAGTGGCATAACTTGCCTTCAGAAGTTATGAATGTTCCAACACTGGAAGTTTTTAAGAAGAGATTGGACCAGAGGTGGTATTCAGCAGGTTCTGACCAGTTCTGGAGAACCGGCAGCGGAAATTCTGAGTAGTTCGGAGAACCGGCAAATCCCACCTCTGACTGGAGATTTTACAGTATCCTTCCCCTGCCACGCCCACCAAGCCACGCCCACAGAACCGGTAGTAAAAAAATTTGAATCCCACCACTGGATTGGACAATCATTTGTTTGAAATGGCACGTGCACCGATGCGCACTGCATGCGTGTGTAAAAAAACACCTTCATGCTGTGCCGCCCGGACAGCTGAAAAGCGCTGCGCGCAGGTGCGCAGCGTTTGAAAAGCCTCTTTTTTCCTGCTTTTTCAACCTCAGCTGTGCCGCACAAAGCAGCTGAGGTTGAAAAAGCAGGAAATAAAGGACAGGTAAGAGCCCAGGCAGGCGGGTGGGCCAAACAGCGGCAAACACAAAACTGGTTGGGTGTCTGCTGCTCTTCGGAGCTACTGGTTCTTTAGAACTGGCCAGAACCGGTACCATCCCACCCCTGATTAAAAGACTTCTGTTATTCTCTATTATTCTATTAAGTAGCAATCTTTGAAACAACTTTGTATAGGATAAATTATCTACCAAGGATTTTTAAGCTGATGTTGTACGTCACATTTCCATAATGTCAGAAAGCAGATACTGAGTATGGGAATTAGAGAGCTGGAAGGTTGCTCCATTTTTCTGTAGATCCCAATAAATATTCCCAGTTTCTCCTGTTAAAGTGCTGCATGGTGACTTTGCTGCAAGGATCCTGATTTACGTGCCATTTGGAGCACTATTAGATTCACACCTTGGCTTTATTGGGATGAAAATCATATTCATTTTACTACTGCAAACTTTAGTAATTATTGTAGAGATTCGTGTATAAGGCAGAATGCATTTCACCTCAAAGCGATGTAGGAACTCCTTCAGATTTGGGAACTGATCCAAGCACTTTGGTTCCAGCATTTGATGTGTATCTAACGCATCATAAACAATGAAATCTATGTAGGTGAGCTAGAAAAATTAACAACAGGAAAATATTTTTAAATGGAAAAATACGATGTGCCAAATAGCATGGTTCAATGTAAATAACCTAGAGCATACATACCTTTCTTCCTACAAACCACTGCCTGTCCCCCAGGAATTGAGAAAACAGCTTGAGTTTCCCAGGTAGTAATTCCAAATAGTCAGGCTTTAGTTTTTCCTGCAAAAAGAGATGATTATGTACAGGCTGGCTTCTAGCCAAATCGTTGTGAAACTCTAAATTTAGCAACTTCCCTTTTTTCTTAATTTCCCTCAGCTCAATAACTAATGCAGAACTTTTCTCTCTCCTTCCTACCCAGGAATAGAGGATCGAATTAGTCTATCCACTCACGCCAAAACAAGCCCAAATTGATCTTCAGATAATTGTTACAATCTGTTACTATTTTGAAGGAAGACAGAAAGCACAACACTCACGAAATCTGGACTGTAACACAATTTTGCAAAGCCCAAACGGAAATCCATGAGGTGGTTCTCAAGCATGTCTATCTTGATTGTTTCTTCTTCAGTCTCACCACCTGTGGCGACACAATGTCCTACAAAAGTAAGAATCTGCTTCTGGGCAATTATTGGAAGGAAATCATTTTTAAAGCCACACCGAAGGGGAGTTTGAACCACTTACACATGTTGTGCTTGCGGGCAATGTATCGCAGGATGGCATTGCTTTGGGAAATCTTTCTGTCGCCATCAATAAGATAGGGGAGCTAAGAAGAAAGGAGGAGGAGAGTAAAGAAGCCAAAATATTATGAATTATTACACTGTCCAAACATGCATTCTTAAATTCTAGGAATGAACCAAGAGGAGGATTTTCTGAGAGCGGCTTGGATTCCTGTTTTTATGACCAAACATTGCTTAGGGTATGACACTTTTGCACAGAGTTGTCAGTGGCCAGAATAGTAACGTTTGAGTTCTGCAGAGAATAAACTGAAATATCCAATTATTTCTCCCATTCTTATTCATTCTGTTTCCCTGAGACAACGCCTCCATTCTTTTTGCATATAGCATTCTCATTTTTCCCCCAGTCCTTTCAATAAAAGAATGTGAGTAAAACTTAAACTTCCAGCTATTTCTATGGTATTTTTCTTTGAAGAGTTTGATTTGTTTTCTTGTCCCACTATCCCTATGCAATTATATAGACTGTGGTTGCAATCAAGCAAACTTCAGTCAAGACATTTTGTCTGCCATGACTGCCTCTAAAACATCTCAGGACTCTTTCCTCATTGCTTTCACCTAGGTTAACAAGAATGGTAGCAACTTGATCCACCATCCTCCCTCAACCCACAGGAATGTACCACTATCTATTCCACAACTGCTACATACATTTGGGAAGTCCAAGCCCAGCTTCTCCTTCACACTTGTCCAGTCAGTCATATCCATATTAGGAACTGTAAGCAGACACATGTATCATTAATGCAAGTCCATTTAAACAGATTGGGCAAAATGGAGATGTTTGTGGTTGCAACAACAGCAAAGATACAACACGTGGTTTTGACATCCCTACAGCAAAATGCAATTATGGCAGATCCCATCAAAGGTCATTCTCATTTAAGGTCGATTTGTCAAGTCCTGATTCCACTGTTACATCTCTCATATTGCTCTGTCTCCTCTCCAGAAAAGCCATTCTGTGAGAAAAAGGCCAAAAATCAATTGTTCATCGTTTGGGGGCATGCAGCACAGACCTTTCCATTCCAGCACATTGAATTCCTGGACATCCCAGTAGCTTTGGAACTGCAGAGAGGGCCTGTCCAGAGTGCAGTTGGTCTTTCCATTCCATGCTGGGGATGGAATGCTTCCCATCTCTATTGAATCGGAGCTTAAGGCTGAAGCTGGCTAGTCTGAAATAGTATTCCGAGCCTTGCCTTGAACACAGTATTGCTCCCTTGCTGACAAACTTGAACTCCTAGTTTTACAGCGGATGAGGCTTAGGTCCTATCCACCCCTACTAATTAAAGCTGGATGAAGCATAGCTCTATTGCCTGGCAGACAAATTCAGCTATTAGGATCTTTCCAATATGGAAATATGATGATTGACCCATTGCCTTTACATCTGGCATACACTGCAGTTTATACATGATTCCCTGTTTTATTTGATAGCAGTGTTCCAATATTTAAGGGGTTGCCACAAAAAAGAGGGAGTTAATATATTCTCCAAAGCAGCTGAAGGCAGGACAAGAAGCAATGGATGGAAACTAATCAAGGAAAGAAGCAACCTAGAACTAAGGAGATATTTCCTGACAGAACAATTTATCAGTGGAGCAAGTTGCCTCCAGAAGTTGTGAATACTCCCAACACTGAAGGTTTTTAAGAAGAGATTGGATAACTATTTGTCTGAAATGGTACAGAAAAGCCTGAACCTTTGTTGGACTAGAAGACTATCAAAGTCCTTTCCAACTTTATTATTCTGTATTCTATAGTTAGAAAAAAACATTTTTGTTCCCATTCTATACGTACCAATGCCAAGCATTCCAACTTGTTTTGAAGTATTTTCTGATTCCAGTTCATTGTCTTGCACTAGGGTGAGATGCATTATGTTTATATTTAAATAACAGTCATCGGTATTTAGATATGTAATTAAGATACAATTGCATACTTATCAATATATATGTATTTATATATGCTATTTCGCACAGATTGAATAGACAGCTTGAAGGATATAAAATGTACAGGCTCTAAATGTACTTTTTGCATGCCTCTAAATACTATTTCACCCATTGTTTGTCCAGGACACAAATCTTTTCTAAAAAATAAAACAACTCCCTCTCACAACTACTCCAACAATGGTCATTATTATTTATACATTTTCCCAGGAAGATGTCTTTACAAATAATACCTAACCAAGTGATTATGATATCCCAAGTTGTCAACTTTGCTTGGAACTAAAAACCTAATAGGATTCATTTCACCTTCTTAGGCCAACTTGATGGGTGAGGGCAAGAAAAGTGATCCATCATGAATGGTGAGTTTATCGGTGAACCTACTTCATCCACTGGCAGAGAAAATAAATGCCTGCAAAATTTCTACTGCCCCATTGACAATCCTGGCTGTGTGTCTAGAATATCTCTTCCAAAGTATGTCTAATTATTACCCTGATCAGTGAGTGTACAAGACATTACAAAAAGCTTTTTCTCTGGCTTTGCTGCCATCTCCTTTCAATATGTCACCGATCAGCAGAAGATAGATACCAATCAGGTCATGAGCCAGAATGATTTGGGTCAGCCTTTGGACTCAAGCTTCACTAAACTGGTTTTCTACAGTCTGCAACTCCCAAGTAAGAAATACAGTAAGAACTGTATATAGAAAACCAGCAGCCACACATAAGAAGAAAACTGAACCTGTTGTTATGCTATAACTATCTATTTTCTGTCCAGTAGAAATGAAACTCTGACTTGATCCTGGACAATCAACTTTCTCATTTGGAGTCAGGTGGAACACGATTGAAACTGGCAAATACAGGGAAACCGGCAAATAAGCACAAAGTTTCCTTATATTCTTTCCTAAGTGTCATGGAGACTGGTGTATTGTAGTGTCCCTCACCTTCTTGAAAACTTGAAGACCTGAGAAGTTGCGGCAGGGAAAAGGGGGCAATGACAAAAATGCAGGTTACAAGTCAGCATACTTGCACCAGATGGTGGGATGTAAATACTAAGGCCAGCAATTGTGATGATGGCACAATCATCATCTTGAGTATAATGTAGATTACTGTACAAGCTGCCTCTTGGAGAAAAATTGGTATAGGAATTGGTGAAAAGAACTCAGGAAACAAATGTTAATGGGGAAAGGGCAAAGGCAGGACAGAAATGCTGGGTGGCAGGCTAGATGGGGATCAGAGAAGAGTGAGTAAGCTCTCCTTGAACCCCCAAACACATCTCCATTCACACATGCAGATAATCCTGATTTAGCAGCTGTTCACAGTTATAACAGTGATGAAAACTTAACTTTGCAATCAGTCCTTGCATTTACAACCTTCACAGGTCTTTAAAGCAAAGGAAAACTGAAATAAGATCATAACAATCAAACAGATTAACAGACAATTAAGAGAATAATTGCTCTTATTTTTTGTATCTAAATCAGCAGTGGAAAAAAGGACCCTTGTAAATCTTTGGCAAGTTTACTTGTGTTAGGGATACCAACTAGCTTTTGTTTCTTCCAGCAATTCTAATACTTAACAAGTGTATTTCTTTGGGTGTTTGCTGAATCAGTTAAAATCTGCTAAGTTAAAATCTGCTAAGTTCAGACATATCCAATATTTGCTCAACATTTCTAAGCCTGGAAAGAGCCAACATGCCAGTTCAGAAAATACTCTTGTAAGCCCAGCATCCTTCCCCCAGAAAGTTAGACAAGCCTTCTTGAAATTCAAGACCTCTGTTTAGTTCCTTACCTTTTCCACCGAGAACATAGTATTTATCTTTATAGGGGGTCTTTGTATACTCTAAGAGCATTCTAATGGTGTGAGCCAACTGTGGGAAAAGAATATCATGGTAAGACAATCCATAGGTACTCATAATTGCCCCTAACATAGCCTTATAAAAAATTGAAATAGTTTGATTAGTTTCCAGTATCAAGTGAGAAGGAGCATGTGTTACTTTGCTACTGTGCTGCCGGTAGGTTTCCAACAGACACCTAAATTGCAGGATCCAATCTGGGTCGGTCAATGGGACCAGCAGTTTTGTCTTCCTAGCTTTCAGACTCATGCTGGAGCCGATCTACCACGAGTCCAAAAGCTCGGAAGGCAAAACCTCTGGTCCTGGTGACCGACCCAGATTGGATCCTGCAACATTATCCTGGGACATGTACCTTCACCTTCATTCATGAGACACCTAAATTGACAGCTATGAGCAGGAGAGACAGGTAGGTTGGTTTGGGAGCTGATGGCAGGAGCCTTTAATCGCAGCAATTTGCTCTGGTTTAGCTAAGCCAAATGATTGCCCAAGGCAGGTTTCCCGATATTCCTCCTGCCCTCATATTTGCAGTTGCCACTGGTTGCTACCCTCATGAGATTTGGGTTTTATGTGAACTCCTGGTGACTGCCTGGGTTAATCTTGGCAGTTCTCTTGGCAAGATTTCAGAAGTGGTTTCTCATTGCTTGCTTCCTAGGACTGAAAAGAAGTGGCTGGCCCAAAGTCACCCAGTTGACCGAACTCTCTGTCTCCTAATTTCTAGCTCGATCCCTTAAACACTACAGGTAGTCCTCGACTTATGACCACAACTGAGCCCAAAATTTCCATTGCTAAGCAAGACAGTTGTGAAATGAACTTTGCCCCATTTTACGAGGCTGCAACCATCCTAAGTGTGAAAAAGGATCATAAGTCACTCCCCCCCCCCCAGTGCCCTTGTAACTTTGAAGGGTCACTAAACAAATGGCCCTAAGTTGAGAACTACCTGTACACCACAACGGTCCCCAGTCCTTCTACCACCGGTTGTTGAATTAACCCGAAGCGGCGGGTGTCCTTCACCGCAGGACACCCGCCGCCGCCGGAACTCTCTCAGCTTTGCTTTTCAGGCACGGCCGAAACCGTCCAGAAAACGCTTCTTCTGCCCGCGCGGCTTCGCCCACCCGCCTGCAGCCTCTCGGCCTCCGTCGGTGGACCCGAAGGCGGACAGCGCCGAGTCCAGGGCAAGGCACCGAGACCGGAAGGCTTTTCAAAGGTCTCCTCCAGGTCCGGTCCTGCTGGCCACCCCGCCTCCCTCGGGGGGGGGGGTTCCCCCAAATTTTTCTGGCTGGAGAATTCTGGGAGTTGAAGTCCGCCAGCCTTAAAGTTGCCAAGTTTGGAGGCCTCTTGCTCCCCACGGATTATTTACCCCTCGGATATCCCAGTAGCCCAGCGTGACTTCCATCTTCTTCGCCGGCGCTGTCAGACGTGGTCGCTGCTGTCTCGCGTGGTAAGCAGAAACCCCGCTCCCTTTCCGCAGATCCCGAGAGCTGCTTTTATACTTAAGGGGAAGAATGTCCCAATGAGGAAGGATGCGACGAGTCCCTGCCCCGAGGTGGCGACAATCAGGTCGCGGGTTGCCTGTTCCGCCCCTTACTCGCCGAACCCGATGTCTCTTCCGCACCGCCTACCGGCTTCAAACAAGTCCGTCTCTTCAGCCGGACGACGCAGTTCGTTTGAGCCAAAGGAGATTCCGCCCCCCTCGCTCCAGATTTAAGAGACGGGTCGCCTTCATGCCTTAACGGTTCGTTTCCGAAATGTTTAGCTTTGGATTTATCCTGAATAATCGATTATTCCTATAAAAAAA